ATAAATATACAGGTATATATTAATTTAATATTAATTTTTATTTTATCTTATAATATGAATTTATTAACATATATTTACCTTAAAACTTCCAATTATTTCAGCATCACATGGCTGAAGATGTGCTGTTGTATTAGAAGGCAATTTATAAAGCTGAATATTGATAAGAGTAGTATCTTCATGTAAAATATGAGTAGATGTACCATCATAGAGTAAAATTATATGTTGATTTTGAAGTCATAAGCGTGCATCAAAATTTTTTAACCAATTATTCTAAATATTAACTTGTATATAAGCTGTTTTATTCTAATAATAGTGTACTGGAAGAGATGATTTTACAACATTTTTTAAAGCACGTGAATTTTGGCTTTTTCCAATAAAACTGCTTTAAGTTTCTCAGTTTCAGAAGCATTATAGCATAGTATAATAGTAACACATTCTTTAGATTGCTTTTTCCTATAACTAAGGTAAAAATTATTTAGTTTATTAGTTTATTTATAATTATCTATAATAAATTATATTAATCAAATATATTTTTAATTTTTTACCTGATTCAGTTGACAATGTATGATTTGGTTTTATTTTCCAGTAAAGTCTAGTTTCATCTGTATTAAAAATATTATCTAATAAATAATCTGCAAGAATACTTTGAAGATTTTTACGCATATCATCCAAAGCTTCTAAAGAAGCATTTGCTGATTCTTCATATTTTAGGTAACATTTAAGCTTATGATGTTTTTTGAAACCTACTACCCATCCTTCTGATTCTTTAAAATCTGGTTCATTTAACAATATTACAAAATCATGTGCTTTTTGTGCCAATAATTCACCATTAATGGTAATATTATTTTCTATTGCTTTTTCAACCTAGAAGCTTAAAGTCTCTTCAATTTTACTTTAACTTGTCTTTTAAGTAAAGCTTCATAAGATTCTGATTTTAATTCTAACCATTTTTTCTTCTCTTTTAAAATGTCACATATCATTTCTTCTGATACATCATATTCTTAACAAATTCTTTATTTTTAGGTTTTGGCTTTTGTAAACTTTTTAAGCAAATTTCCTTTTTCTGAATACTGGTAAGAAAAGCTCTAGTTCTTTTTATTTTAGGAGTATTTTTGTCTTTTGGCATTTTTGAATAAAATGTTTATCAAAAAAATTTACGATGTAAGAATTATGATCAGTTTGATTTAATAATATAAAAATAATGTAAAATTTCCTTTAATAGTTATCGTAGAAATATATTTACTACTAAAAAAATTTGGTATAACTCTTAAAATTTTGACAAAAAATTTGATATTGAAAAAATTCGTTTAATCAAGTATCATTTTACTATACTTTACTATAATTTGTATTATATCACTGATTCGTTATATGTTATAGTAAAATTTATTAGAAAAATTCAGTTTATTTAAATTATATAACTATATATAATTTGATACTACTTATGTAATTCACAATATCGTGAAATTCAGAATACAGAAATTCGTTATAGACCACTTCGACTGTATATAATTTTTTTACATAAATGCACTTATGTGACTATATGATTATAAATTTGATCAGAGTTATAAATTATCTAATAAAATAATGTATCACATTTCCATTTATAATGTAACACTTCTGCTATATATTATGTAATGTGATGCAGTTGCGATAATGCTGTAATATTGCAGTTTACATTTACATTATTTGGGTATTATGTCTCCTAAAAAAAATTACTTTAACTGATACACAAAAGTATGAACTCTGTTTTTATGCTAATAGTAATCAAGAAAACTGACTTCATTATGTAAATTAGATTAAAGAAAAGTGGAAAGTTATAGTTGACAAATCTATAATAACAAGAATTTACAAAAGAAAAATGACTTTCTACTGAAATTCTTAATTAAAAATAAAAATGGTGAAAAGCTATTACCTACCCAGAACTTGAGTTTGCATTCAAGGAATTTGTATTGAATTATTAGCATAAAATAATATTAAGTGATGCTATTTTAATTGAAAAGGCTAAGTTGTTAGCTGAAGGGTTAAGAATTTCTGAGAATAGTTTACAATTTTTACATAGTTAGCTTTAAGAATTTAAGAAACGTAATGGAATTCATTAGAAAAAACTTCAAGGAGAAGCAGTATCTACTAATGAAACTGCTATTCTTGAAACTCTACAATTATTGCATAAAAAATGTGCTAATTATTCTCTTGAGAGAATTTATAATATTATTATAGTCAGTTCTTTAAGATGCTTATGAGTGATAAGCGAAGCAATATTTATGGGTGGTAAGCAGAAAGTTTAATTTGATATTTGGATTTAGAAGAGTGTTGGTAAATTAACAGTTTATTTAATAACTATAACAATAGAGTACTACCTCAGTCAGCACTCTGTATTATAAAATTATGTTAGAGGGATTAAACTAAACTATTATATAAAACTATATGTTAGACACACTGCTAAACTAAAAGAAATTGTCTTCTATTTATATAAAATATAAAATATAAAGTTATCAAAGATATAAAAGAAATAAATATAATAAATAAAATATATGAAATAAATATAATATATGCTGCTTTAGCTTATTTAAAGAATATGAAAAACCCTGTTAGACGACTTGGATGTTAGCTAATGACTTTTAACTCTTATGATATGAAAATTATTAATCGCCCTGAAAAACTTCATTCAAACATAGATACTTTAA